TCCCAGACCACCCGTAACAGGTCTTTTTCTCGGTTGGTTTAGGTAGTACGAAGTGGGGGATCGCGGGGTTGAATAGGGAATTGACCCCAAGGAATCCGAATTTCACGGTCCCGAAGCCCCCCATGCCCCCTTGGAAGGTAAAGAAGGGGTCACGATCCCCAAAGTCGGGAGACATTGTGCCTCCCCCTTTTACCCCCCGAGGGTCGCAAGGGGGGCCTCGGGACCGTGAAATTCGGATTCCTTGGGGTCAATTCCCTATTCAACCCCGCGATCCCCCACTTCGTACTACCTAAACCAACCGAGAAAAAGACCTGTTACGGGTGGTCTGGGATACCCTGTATAACGAAGTATTATTAAAATATTTATTGGAGGGGAAGGGTGGGGGGAGGAGAAAATATCGATAATTACAGCCTACAGCATGAATATAAGGCCCTAGAGGTGAAACAACCCCTGCCTTGCCCGCGCGGGATGGAGCGCCGCCGATATGCCGCCCGCGCGTAACCGGTAACGCGCAGAAAAATCGCTATAACTCACGAACGAATCGTTTCCCCAAGGTCAAACAAAGTGTGGTAGATGCAGAATTTTATGGAGAATCACATCAACAGGTTTTTATTCACGTAGCAACGATCGCCTGGAGAGGAGAGCCGAAAAACGAAAAAAAGTCGAACCTTCAAAATCGAAAAAATCGATTTATGACCGCGATAAATTAGGCAACCATGCAAACAGCATTAATAATCTTGTAGAGAATATTTTTTGACGTTTTTTAGCGCAAACCGCAACACTTACACTCAAACCGTTCGCGAGATATCGATTTTTAAAGTTTTAAAAAAATTGCAACTTTGCCCCCCTGCCCCCTCCCCCCTAATTATCCGAGGGGGCTGAAATTTTGCCCAAGCATCGGGGACACTTAGTACAACATCTGAGCAAAGTTTGGGCCAAATCCAGGGGGGGGGCCAAAATCGGCGTTTTTGGAACAACCTCTTTGAACTGCCCGCTCACAAGAAACTCAAAGCTCTGCATGAGTCAAATCACGCACTACGACGGGTTCAGCAAGCTTCTCAATCGAGCAATGTTCATTTCCTACCATGTGTTGCTCAAACTTTAAGCAATTTGCTATAGCTGAGCCAAAGCGTCAAGATTGAGGTTGCCAGATGTTTATATCGCAGAGACTGTCATGATAACGTTTAGCGCAGGATGTGAATCACGCAGAGCATTGAGTTTTCATGAGCGGGTGGTTTGAAATCATGCATGAGTAATCATTAAATATCTTCGTAAGGAGTTGATTTCGGTAATTTTCGTTGTGCGCAGCGTGTTTTACGTGAAATTTTGGCTAAGGAACATGTTGTAGAATGCTGAAATTCGTACCTTGTCTTGTGGTCCATTCTCAGTGAGCTATCTGAGTTGCAGATGGACCACTAGACAAGTTGACAAGGTACGAATTTAAGCAATCTGATACATATTCCTTGACCAGAATTTCACGTAGAACACAATCCGCGCAACGAAAATCACCGAAACCAACTCCTAACGAAGATATTATGTAACGTTTTTAGTTCACATTGGTTACGAGGAATTTGAACTGCCCGCTCACAAGAAACTCAAAGCTCTTATCTAGTGGTCCATTCTTTACCTGGGGACAGATTTTTTTTCTGAGACAAGCCCAATCGGAGACGGCGCCTAAGTCCGCCCTGTGAGAGAACTGAGCATGAGCATCACAATTCTTCTCTTTTTTGTAACAGGAAAAGGAGCTAACTATGACACCAAAAAGACAATAAGCTGCCTCAAAAACATCACACTGGCTATTCGTGATCAAATTAAACTTCTGTAGATCAATATTATTTTCTTCTTTCAAAATGTTGTGCACCGAGCTGATGAAACGTACTTTATGTGTTGCAGGTAAGCCTGAGTTCTAAGTTGTTCCTTGTTCCTCAGCTGTATTGAAACTTCCATGTGAGTTTTTTTCATTTGTCTCTATTTTTTCTACAGCAGAGCGTCACGATTTATGCATGTAATCAAAATTTAGAAAGCATGCTGTTCTACTTGTTGTATCCGATTTTTCTTATTTTTTCATGCCTTTCTTTGTTGGATATACTAAACATGATTTTTGAATGACCCATAATATTTTGTAAATCATGTTCGTGTAATTTTGAAAACCAGAAATTTTTCTTTGCGTCGGATTCCGGCAAAAATTGAATCAGGATTCCAACAGCACTGTTCTAAAAAAGCCACCTCATGCTTTTTCAAGTTAGACGAATTTCATCGCGGTTGAGCGGAACCATTCAAGTCATTTAAGCTGCATTCGAACTGCCCAAGTTGCATTGGCCAACAGAAATATCGCGATATTATGAAATTAATTTGCGATTTTTTTACTATTTTTGGCGATAAAAGCGCTAAGGTCTTCAAAACTTGAGCTTGAACTTTCTCTATAAAATCGCGTTCGATAATCTTAGAATTTGTATCTCAATCTATCGCGGTATTTTTTTGCATAGCATTGCGATAAATCGCCGTCGATGAAATCGCGATTTTATTAAAAATGTATGTTCTGATAACGAAATTTATCTTAATTTTTTATCCGATAATATTATACAGTAAATCGAATTCGATAAAGTCGCTATACTTTCTCCAATCAGGTGCAACTTATCATGATCATTGCAACTCGGGAATTTGGAGAATACGCGGTTTTGAATGACTGTTCCAAGCGGTGATATTGCAGTTCTGTCTGCGTTTTCTTACGCCTTGTCTCCACGGGACGTTTCACGGGATTTTTCCCAAGTTCAAATTGCAGGATTGAAACTTCTGGGCTTTTCCCCCGTTAAACAACACAACAAAATTTATTCTTCTTCTTTTTAAGTCGTTCCTGGGACTCCGTATTGACTCTCAGTTGGCACTGTGATTAGCATTGACTAACCCATTATTTTTCCCAACTTCGTTAGTGAGATTTTTTCCTGGGACGAATCCCATGAAACGTCCCGTGGCGATGAGGCCTACAGGGTCACGGACCTGTTATCCTCGACGAAAGTCCAGGCGGTGTCGACGCGGAAGCCATCTACACCCTTGTCGAGCCAGAAGCGGATGACGTCGAGGATTTCGTCGAGGACTTTAGGGTTGCGGTAATCGAGGTCCGGTTGCTTGACTTGGTACTGGTGGAGGTAGTACTTCCCTCGCTTCTCGTTCCAGGTCCAAGCGGAGCCCGAGAAGGTGGAGAGCCAATTGGAGGGCGGCTCCCGGGTCCCGTTGGCCCCCTTCTTGGCCTCCACCCAGACGTAGTAGTCCGTGTACGGGTCTATGCCTGCTACCGATTTCTGAAACCACGGATGCTCGTCCGAGGTGTGGTTCGGCACCAGGTCCAACAACACCTGAAAATCCAAGTAGGAAGCATAGAGTACATAGAGTCGTAATGTAAATGGGAGAGCTGGCGCCATGTTCTGCTCGACGAGTTCCGAGCCCGGTGTGCGCCGAGTTCGGGTCACTTTTTCGATACATGTTCGATCCAAAATGGCGGTGTGGAATACGTGGGGATTCCTACCTTCCTTGTTTACATCGGATGGCCGGGTACCCGTGTATCGCAAACAATCGATTATGTATCGAAAAAGTGACCCGGCGTCACACAGGAGTCTCGGAATTCGGGACCTGGAAAATGCTTAAAAGTGGCGCCAGCTCACCCACTTACATTATGACTCTACGTACTCTATGGTAGGAAGGAGGTAGGATGAGGACAGGGGAATGCGTGCTGATTTTTTAAAGGCGGTCCGGAACAGTGTTCGAAACTCACCTTGCACTGGAAAAAAACACATTGGATCTAGAGACCAGACTCTTAAAAAGATCGACAAGATAAAGTACTCTTGCTACAATCAGAATATAGCTTAAATCAAGAACCAAGTCTCTTAATCTAAGCGGATTTCGTTTTGATTCAAGCAAAAATCCGATCGAATCAAGATTATTTTTTCTTGTCAATGTTTTCAAGAGTCTGGACTCTAGATCCAATGTGTTTTTTTTCCAGTGTGCTGATTTTTGAAAGGCGGTCCGGAACAGTGTTCGAAACTCACCTTGGAGTTTCAGGTGCCATGTGGCGCATCAAGCTCGATTTTTAGGGGGCAAATTTAGTTTTTACCTATGTATCACGGCGCATTTAGTGACAAGTTAGACGCAAGATGCTGTAGTTACAGAAGTAGTAGCCGCTACTTGGGGGAAATTTCGAACAATCACCAAACAGCAAAACAAGGATTTTTTTTTTTTTTTTGGGGGGGGGGCAATTTTTAGGGGCCACGATGGCGCAGAGCCTTCATTTTTTGGGGCGCCATGACAGATTTCTTCGGCGCATTTGGCGGGTTGGCGCCTGTGAGTTTCGAACACTGGTCCGGAAGCACTGAAAAAGTACGGAAGTTTCTCAAGAAGGTCCGGAATTGTTTGCTTCGCACTACCCGTGTTTTTTTAAAGGCATCCTGGAACAGATGCAATCCCTAGCACACAATGAAGAATCTGCAGGTGTTTTACCAATATAGTACTTTTCTTTTGGGGCAAGTCTAAAAATGAACATGCTTCCTTTTATAAACAACTCGTTCAATGGAGTTATCGCTTTGAACGGTAGATTTGGTTAATTTTCTTGCTCCGTATCTAACAATGTATCTTTTTCTTATTTTCATTAATTTTCATTGATTTCATTTAACTTGTTTGCCAACTACACCTTGCACGAGGAAAAACTGAATGAAATTTAATTCGGGTGATGACCAATGAAGACTCCTTGGCGCGCGCCGCGTCGAGTAGTTGCAACCGCGAGGAGAAGGAATTTCAAAGTGCCTTCAGTTTTTCGATATGCATTACGCCCATCTCGAGGACACGAATAGTTGTATTCAGGCTCTATTACTCACGCGGTACGGGCGATGATCGATATTCCCTGTTAAAATTGGAGATCAAAACTCGGTGTTTGCACCAAATCGTTTGATTACATTTGACATTAATACAATTGACCCGTTCGGAAATAAATGTCTGACGGTGTATAGACCCGCTTGGAAATAAATTTCTTACGCGGTAAATAGAAAGAACCTCTCAATGACATAGTTTAGTTGCGAAATAGAAATAATAAGCAATACTGAGACTTAATACGTTTCCGTCTATTTTTTTTTTTATTCAAACATGGGATAAACTTACGGAGAGTTTATGTGCGCTTTGTAGTTTAATTCTTTATTAAAAAATATAATACGAGAGAAAATTAGGTAACGTAAAATGCAGTTAGACTGACTCTGATCAAATCCGTCCAAAGAACATTATAATTATTTTTGAACCTCTTGTTAAGTTCCCGTTTACACAGGAATCTACATTGATTATCATAGGCATGATAAAGGTGATAAATTAGTATTTTATTGCCAGATATTCTACTCAGTTTATTTGCAGACCTGGGTCCACAACTCCACACGCATCTGAAAAACGCGAAAAACCAGGAAACGTAAAATCAGGGAATCAGTGATAACTTGACAATATCAGGAAGGAAATTCAGGGAATATGTCTGTCGCACGAAAGAGATACAGTCCTAAATACACTTTTCAAGCATAGATTTTCTCGGAAATCACGTTAGTCACACCAACAAGGTCTGAAATCCACTCCTCAGCGCAAAATTTGCGCGCTTTGTAACGCGCTTTTTCAAATTTACCGCGTATGCGGGCAGATTTTCTCGTCGGCCGGCAATCAGGTTTGCCCGGAGAGAGATCCGGTTGAACACACAGGAAAATCTCATGAGCCGCCGCCCACACGCGACGCACTATGGTCCAAAACTCAAGAATAGGAAGAAATAAGTCGGATAATGACTGAAAGATCACGAAAGTTTCGAAACAGATGTCTTTTGAGTCGCTAATTTCGAATTTGATGTCAAATTGCCTACATTCAAGATACCCTGGCCTATAAATTGTGGGCAAGTTTATGGCTCGCTGCGGCGCGGCGTGCTACCAGCTCAAAACGCGTACTGACGCCTACAAACCTAAGGGGATACTTCAAGCATTGCGCAATGCGTGAAGTAGTCCTTTAGGTTTGTAGGCGTCAGTGCGTATTTCGTGCTGGCAGCACGCCACGTACTGACGCCTACAAACCTAAGGGGATACTTCAAGCATTGCGCCATGCGTGAAGTATCTCCTTAGGTTTGTAGGCGTCAAAGCTTGTTTCGTGGTGCACGTCACGGCGCTCCCGACGGGCGGGTGGTGAGCGATTTCTTGCGGGGAAAGCTCCCTTGCTCCCCAGCGGAGAAACTCGTATATCGTATAAATTTTTTTGTTTTAATTTTCGACTTTCAAAATTAAACACTGGTCATGTGAAGTAATTAGTGAAATCTCAACGCTAGATAAAGTATTATAATGAAAGGTGGGTCGTGCGCCATGCGCGCTGCGGACGGCGCGGCGCGGCGCAAGGCGGCTCATGAAATTCTCCCCTGTGCTCTGTCGAGGGAGACCTAACCTACATAAGCAAACAAATTCGCTAACTGTTATACACTCTTCTCGCGTAAGATGTCAATTGATTTAAAACCCTTGTTTTTGAGAAATAAAGAAAGGAGAAAGAAGCAAAAGCTTGATATTTATTGAAAATGTGCAACATACAAAGTTAGTGAAATCGTTTGTTTACTCAGGTCGGTTTTTGTTACCATTCTACCCGTGCAAGCCTGGTAGGCGGTGACTGAGAAAAACTGCCCGCAGCTGCGGGAACTTGAAAAACCGTGTTACAAACTACGCTAATTGGACTGTATTTTACAATTTGGAACTATAAATTCTGGCTCTTCTGGAAAAACACTTATATGCATAGGGAAACTAATGGCACATACGTTGTTTTTAAACTGGGCTGGAATTTATGGTTCCGAATTGCAAAATGTAGTCCAATTATTGTGCGTTAAGGAATGAATTTCAGACTTTTTTGACGTGCTCGACGTGATTTTCCCTGCGATATTTTATCGGGAAAGAGCATATTTATTTTGCTGTATCTCTTGCAACAGACCCATTTTAAAACTTGGGACAGTGAATAAACCCTGCTGAGACGGGCCTAAACGGAAGAAGACTGACCTTGATTCCGAGCTCGTGGTAGACCTGGAGAAGCTCCTGGAAGTCGTCCATGGTGCCGAAGAGGGGGTCGATGGCCTTGTAGTCGGTGATGTCGTAGCCGAAGTCGACCATGGGGGACTTGAATATCGGTGACATCCAGATGCAGCCCACCCCGACGCTCCGAATGTAGTCCGCCCTGTGAATGATGCCCCGCAGATCGCCCACCCCGTCGCCGTCCGAGTCCTGGAAGGAGCGCGGGTAGATCTGGTAGATCACCGTCTTCTGCCACCAGTCCAGCTCCGTCGACCCGATCGGGCACCATTGCCAAAGGATCGTCGCCAATAGGAGCCACAGCTTCGTCTTTATTGTAAGCATTTTCCCGGCACTGGCTCTGTTAAGGCAAAGAGTACATAGAGTCGTAATGAAGTGGGTGAGCTGGCGCCACTTTTAAGCATTTTCCAGGTCCCGAATTCCGAGACTCCTGTGTGACGCCGGGTCACTTATTCGATACATAATCGATTGTTTGCGATACACGGGTACCCGGCCATCCGATGTAAACAAAGAAGATAGGGAGCATCACGTATTCCGCACCGCCATCTTGGATCGAACTTGTATCGAAAAAGTGACCCGAACTCGGCGCACACCGGGCTCGGAACTCGTCGAGCAGAACATGGCGCCAGCTCTTCCATTCACATTACGACTCTATGCACTCTATGTGTTAAGGTGATTCATCAAGCTCAAGTGACGTGGTCGAACTGGCATGCGATATACCGCATCGATCAGGTCAAAAATCTCGGTCGATTTTGAATTTTTAGCGAAAAAAAGGTCGATAGCCCAGCGCATGAGCCTAAAGAATCATTCTAAACCCAAAAATCAACAAAATTCCGAGAAATGAATGCAGAATAGTTTGGAAAAAAACCTCGCATTCGATACAGAAATCGATGGCTGAATCGAATGCGAGGTTTTTTTCCAAACGCACTATTCTGCTTTCATTTCTCTGAATTTTGCTGATTTTGGGGTTTAGAATGATTCTTTAGGCTCACGCGCAGGGGCTATCGACCTTTTTTTCGCTAAAAATTCAAAATCGACCGAGATTTTTGACCTAATCGATGCGATATATCGCACTCCACTTCGACCTCGTCATTTGAGCTTGACGAATCACCTGAATAATGTAGTCAGGGAAGAGGGGACTTAAGCTGATAAACTGAAAAGAAGTAAATGCACTGAGGAAAAAACTCCGACTGTGGAAGCCGTACTTACGGGCTGTATAGACATACCGTCCGCGATCCGGGCTCAGAGGCCGGAAGTTCCGGGCGTATCACCCGGAGCAATCGAAGCTACGGCTCCAGCACCCGGAACTTTCGACCTCTGAGCCCGGAACGGGCGGTATGTCTACGTAGCCTGTAACTTCTTCTTCAGCGTGAGCCGTTCATAAATGGATCGTATTCGATACATCAAAGAGGCGAGATCTATCGATATCGATCGGTTCAATATGTAAGCATAGCCTCAAAAGTCAATCGCGTAATCTGTAGGAACGGGTTATTTTGATAGATTTTTTATTCTTATGAGTACATGAGTAGCACATGGCAACGGAAAATGAAATTGTCAGGAATTTTCTCCTTTTCAGCTTTTCTAACCTAAATCCTAAAATTTTTGCCTCAGATTAGGTTCTATTATTTTGAACCAAATCACTATCCACCACCGAACCACTATCGTACTCAGTTTTGTTTTCACGTGTTTAAGGATAGGAACCCAAGTCATAAAAGCGTTACAAGGGAGGATAGAAGGGGTCAAAAATGCCGATAAAGTGCGTTACGTAATTTGAATGAGATTGCTCTCCTTATGCGTAAAGGGGTTGGTTCTACAATTTTTGAAATTGGGGATACCCCGAAAGTTCAAGAATTGATTATTCGAGTAAATTTTATAGTTTGACAGTGAGAAATTATCGCTGTTTTCAAACAAAAATATTAAGATTTCACTGTATTATCCTCCTTCCCTTCAAATACAAATTTGCTATAGAAAATTTCACCAAATGCGAGACGTCATTACCTGTACCTTGGTCCTGGTGGATTTTACTTTTTACTAAGATGTTTTCAGTGGGAAAAAAAGTTTATAAATAATCAAACAGATATATAACTGAAACAATCGCACTGCCTTCCTTTGAAACGTCCGCCACAGGAAAATTTTTGGCTTTAGATGGTGTTGCTGGTTAAGACCTAACTAATAGATTTCACCATACAGAAGGAGGGACTCGTAAATCTAGACCTTGAATAAGTTTCGATAGCATATTTTGGAAACAGCAGTGCCCAAATTATTCTGCTCAAATGCTTTGTCAGGCGGTAATACAATATCGCCAAATTGTTCAGCATGTGATCAGTATACATGCTGTAAAAGTTGCATGCTTTCCCTTTTCGCTTTATTTTATCAACTTGACAGATTCATGGTTTAACTTGCAATTTTGTGGGTGCTTATCTCAAGCGATAAAGAGGTATAACAGTAAATTTTAAGACGTTGACCTCATCTGTTGTTCCTTTGTCCTGCGTTATCTTTGGTTCCAGAGCATGTATTGATAAGCGTTGGAGATGAAGTGTCCTGACTTTCGAAATCTGCCATGCTTTTTTACCCAATAAAAAAAAAACGGGACATTTTTCAAACAAGCCATTCTGTCTGAAATTCAGTAGGTGAATGAGATTTAAACTTTCCATCCCGACAAGATTATTGTTAAAATTTTGAAGAGAGCTAATTTTCACCGTCCCAGCCCAAAGGATTTCCTTTTTTGAATTATTTCTCCTCTCCAGAAAATAGAACTAAACAGAATTTCTTTTCTTCAAAATTAGAAACAAAACGCACTGACATGTGTCTCCAATGTTGTTTTCGGTTAGTTCCAGTCCCAGTTCCTGTTCAGTTATCCCCTCCCCCCCCCCTCCCGGCGCACAATGAATCGAGTCAATAGGAGAGGGCGGACAAAATTTGGAAACTTTAAACGCTTATAACTCCGCTTATACAAAGCTTTGAGGTTCCAAAAGTGGTTTCATTGGTTTTCTCGTGAAATTTTCTACCTCAAGCACCCCTTGAAATGTACAATGTGACGAAATAAATACCAAAATTTGCTGTTTTAGTCACAAATTTCATGTCTGACCTCTCTAGTTGACTCGATCCACTGTGCAGCGTTTGCATGAAAGAAGGCGCAAACAGAACATTTGCCATGCCAGAAACCTTTATTATTGAATATTTGCGTGTGGAATTTATCTCTTTCTTTTGTATGTACGACATTATGCGTAAATTTTTGAGAACCATTGAAACGACAAAGCGATAAAGTTATGGAAATTGTAGGTCGAGAGCGTTCATGCGTGCGTTGCGATTAGTTGGCGGTAACGCCACTGAAAATTGGACGTGTTTCTGTCAAACGGAACTGTGTGCATTAAGACATGAGCCCTGAGACCCATGAGGATAGATGCATAACAGGGCTCACGTCGTAATGCACATGGTTCCGTTTGGCAGAAATACGTCCAATTGTCGGCAACGCGCTCACTGAGCTCGGCGGAAAAACTGTCAAAGAGAGGAAAATAAAAACATCGTGTACGTTTTAAGAAAATCGTATTTATATTAATGATAAAATTGTTCTGCAAATGACCGAAAATCATGCTTACCAGAATAGACTTATATTAAGTAACTTATAAGCTATTGTACTTTAGTATGCGGTTTTGTCAAGTATTGATAATTTGAGATTGGGGGAGGGGGGGGGCGGCTCGATTTCTTCCTTTGTTCAGAAAGAAATTTTGCCGCTAATCACCAGAGATTACTCCATTTGTGAAATTTCATCCATAATCTGATCAAAATAATTTACGCTAACATCACCAGATTTTTTTTTCAAAGTCTCAAACATACAGAAGGCATCCAAAATGAATTTGAATTATTTTTAGAATTTATTCGAGTATCGTAAATATGCGACTCGCTCAGAGGGTAGATCTTTTTTTGTGATGAAGTGTCGCACCGGATGCCCTAAATGGGAGCAGCAGGCGGAGTTTGAAATCGTCAAAATGTACAAACTACTAGTGTATCATATTTCAATAAATCGTTACGAATTGTTCATCTGTGCAAAGTGTGTGACTGTCCTCAGAAAAAAGGAGCTAGTAGGGTAGAAACATTCAGAATTGAGATACTGGTGTCAATGCTTACAGGAGCGTTTAACGAACACCCAGGTCATTGCTCTTTCAAAAATATTGCCACTTTCCTAGTCCCTTTCTCTGCAGACTTCACATATACGCAATATATTTGACTACTTCAGAGAATAACACACTAGTAAATAGGGAAGAAAGAGAGCTTACGAAACTAAAAAATAGAAGAAGGAAAAGAATTATAACGTTCTAGATAATACTTTTAGGTAATACTGGATAAAACTGGACCCAACTATACATTATAATTCCAGCTGATAAACATAAATTACACTGACGATTTTCCCTGAAACCAGTAACTTTCTCTCGCTCCTATATGAGAATTCGTATAATATGAAAAACTTCTCCCGCGCGGGTGGTGCCCACTGCCATAGTCGCGTTCATTCAACAACCATACACGGTCGTTTCCCAAAATATCCCACAAGCGATAACAATTCGATCACAGTTGTAGTAAAGTTTGCATATTCAATATTTTAAAGGCGATTTTCGCCAGCGTGTCAGGAAATAAACTCTTAGACTGCTGGATCGAGTCGTTCGCTCGCATTGTCGGTGAACTTCGCTTACCACGTCTGCTTCTTCGTGACGTAGGTATCATGCATAACCTGATACAGTATACTTTAAAACCGGGTGTGTTTATTGAATGTATGTGGTTCTCCACGGAGAGGAACACCTCTGAAAAAAATTCGAAATTGAATTCTTGAAACTAGATCATACAGAATATTCTTACAGACATTTTGGGACAAAAACCGTTCAAAAATGTCGAACCGAAGAGGGACTTAATTATTCTATTTCGTGAGGCATCAATGCCTTAGACTGAGAAACGGGATTTTTGCAACCCTGCTCTGGCAGACGTCATCTTGATTCCATCAATGGAAGCATCCAGGCCTCCCGCTGATCAGCTGTCGAGTATAGCCCTGCCGTGATAGCGAAGACAGCCGTAAGTGCTATCTTCTGCATGCTCTCGTGGTTGCGTTTTGGGCACACAATAAACGCATTTTCAGGTTAAAAATTCGCAGAAGAGGGCGGCACTTTACTTGAAAGTACTATTTTCATTGGTCCTCTGGAGGAATATTGTCACTTACTGCTGTCTTGCCTAAAACTACGTCATGTTTTGCGCAGTCACGGCTTTCTCATATGTCTCGTTTTGACACAATTAAGATGAATGTCGCTGTTTTGGCAATTTCAGTGATTTCGTCTGCAAAAGTTTAGACGAATTTTGAAGGGAACTCGATTTCGAAAATTTGACACTAGCTCTCTTCGCTATCACGGCATAGCTCTTGTAACACGATCAAACTTAGCTATCACAATATCAAGGCCAGGTGTTGTGATTGGCTTATTCGATATCTTCACTGAAAATAAAACTTCGGCCGTGAGAGCCGGAATTACGGGCTATATAGACATACCGTCCGTTCCGGGCTCAAAGGCCGAAAATTCCAGCTGCTGGAGCCGTAACTTCGGCCTCTGAACCCGGAGAAATCGAAGCTACGCCTCCAGCAGCCGGAATTTTCGGCCTTTGAACCCGGAACGGACGGTATGTCTATACAATAGCCCGTAATTGCGGCTCCCACGGCCGGAGTTGTTTTTTCAGTGTTGAACCAGTCACAGCACTTGACCTTGATATATTGATGGCACGGTTTAATCACGTGCCCAGAGATTTTGACTACGCCACACCGAAAGAACTCATCAGCTCGGACCAATCAGAAACGGGTTCACGATCCGCTCCGCGAAAACCCGCATCGCGAACTCGACGGCTTTATTGGGGACGGTGAGCAACCAGGAAGAATCACCCTGCTCCTCTTTGAGGATGTAGAATCCCTGCTCCATCAGGTTATAGAACAGGACGTCTTCGATGTGTTCGGCTGGGTTGCCAATCCCACGCTCTGCCTCCACTAGAGCGATCAGCGCCACGCTGTCCAGCTTAGTAGTGCCGAAAATTTTGACGCCCTTCGTCGGGTCCAACGAGTCCAGGAACTTCTTCCCGAAACGGGCCGGGCTGAGGAGATACTTGAAGTCGTGTAAGGGCCTCGGCGACCAGTAAGAACTCAACTCGGCTTTCGATAAATTGCCATCGTTGTGTTTTCCTTCGATCAGGTAATGAATTATATGATGTGGACAGTACAGCGAGTCTTCCGACAGATCCTGGTAATAGTGGAAGTATCGGTAGCCGTTGAAGTAGTGCTCTGTGTTTTTCTTTAGGGTATCCCTGGATGTTGGTGGCTGTAAGGCGATCAGCTGGTCCACCTGAAGAGAAAAACATGATGTTAAGTAATAAATCAAAGAGATTCGTAATGCTAGGATGATTTCCAAGTAGCGTAGAAGGAACTTTTAAAATGAACTTGCAATATAATGCAACCAAAGCGCAATTTTTGCCATCAAATTCCAATGGTTTTGTATTATTTGACTATTAAATGCCCAATGCCCTTGTAATAACGATCAATTAACGGAGTTCAATGTGTCAGAAAGGTAGGCAATTTACAATGCAAATGTAACTTATTTCCGTTTTATTGCAATACATTTCATGAAAGGGTGCCCCTTCAATAGGTGGTAGGCAACATACGTATCACTCCAGTGCAGTAGCAATAAGTTCCCAAATCGCGATTACGTGAGATCTCATGGATAACTAGACTGACTTGCTGAGTAAGGTTTGTGCATTCCTCCGAAAGACTTGAAGGTTTTCAGCGCCTGTTTCTATTTTTCAAATATTTTTTTAGACTCGAAATTTTCGATAGAAAGAAAATTCTGTCGAAATTTGCTCAAGGAGTGATGCTCTTACGAGAGTAACCCTAATAAATATTCATGATTACCCTCAAAATGTCTCTAATTTTGGCTCAAAACCAACCAGACGCATTTATGCCAAAAGGAGCTATGTAAACACGAATTCAGTCAAAAGGAACTATGTGCATAGGATTAGTTTGCATCTTTTAATTTTATTCATTTTCATCTAGCTCCTCCTAGTATGAACACGTCCAATCACGATCCGACACGTAATTTTAAATTCGCACGCTGTTCTTTCCATAGTGGCGTATGCTAGCTTTTCCCGACAGTTTCTAAAAAGCACTGGAAAAAAACCACATTGGATCCAGAGTCCAGACTCTTGAAAACATTGACAAGAAAAAATACTCTTAATTTAATCAGATTTAAGCTTAAATCAAAAGGAAATCCGCTCAAATTAAGAGGCTGGGTTCTTGATTTAAGCTTAAAATCCGACTGAATCAAGAGTATTTTTTTTCTTGTCGATGTTTTAAAGAGTCTGGACTCTAGATCCAATGTGTTTTTTTCCAGTGAGGTGCATGTCCTAGAATGGTTTTTTATGAAACGAGCGCCCTAAAACGACCTCATCGCTGCTTCCGTGGTCTAAATCGAAGGACCGCGTTAAGCGGAACGGAACCAAGCCACATCAGCTGTTGCCAAAATTAATTGGGCAATTTAATTTTTAACATGAAAACACTGGGATAAAAACATTGGATCTAGAGTCCAGACTCTTGAAAACATTGGCAAAAAAAGGACTCTTGATTCAATCAGATTTAAGCTTAAATCAAAAGGAAATCCGCTCAAATTAAGAGGCTTGGTTCTTGATTGAAGCTTAAATCTGATTGAATCAAGAGTATTTTTTCTTGTCGATGTTTTTAAGAGTCTGGACTCTAGATCCAATGTGTTTTTTTTCCAGTGAACGGTTCTGCGAATTTTTGTGCGAATTTCAATGAATTTTCTGCTTGGTACGAAGCAAATTCTTCAAAATTTTCAAAGGAATCCGCACATACGTTCTCGTGTAAAAAATTAAATTGCCCAGTTTTTGGCAATAGCCAATGTTGCTTGGGTCCTCTCTGCTAAACGCGGTCAATTTTACCCTTATTTGATTGGGTATGAAAAGAGCCAGCGGAATGAAGCATGAATAACCTACCTCTTCACCCAAAAAACCGTAGAACGGTTTCAAGCATTCATCCCTTAAAGCTGGCCTGTATTGCAGATTATTCGCGTAGAGGTTGTCCTCTTCACCGAAGCTCATGACCCCGGTGAGAACGCTTTTCCACACAAACCAATTCCCTTTAATCAACTTCGCTTTCGCCGATTCAGTAAAATCTAGAATTTCGTGGATCACTGCGTTCGTCAACCATGGTCCACCTCTGCTGGCCTGCTGGGATAAAATCCACTGATGTGGAGTCGTCGCCCCGTCTATTAATACTAGAACCGGATTTCCTGGTAGCAGAATTGTAAGCATGAAAATTAGTGGTAAAAATGTATAATGTATAAACATGTGTTAAAAATGTCTCACACCCAGTGAGGGGATGGCGACAGGAGGCTCTAATTGAGATAAGGGAGTGTCAACTCCCTGATCGATTGTGAGAAGACTGAGTTTAGTGGCGATTAGGCGTCGCAGAGCGCCAGAGAGCGCTATAAAAGCGACTCATGTATGTATGTAAATGTTAGGGATGTATGATGTAAATACATTTTTTAACTTTTTTCCGTTAATTCGGATCAAAACACTTTTTCTTGTTTTTTAACCTTTAGCGAAAAATACTAAAGAGTAACACGTTCAATTTTCAGGAATGGATTATTGTCACCGCGAGATCTCTTACGACTTCATTAACTTGATCACGCAATATATGATTTTTTCAGCTTTGTTTTTAAACTTTTTAATTTTCAGTTAATAACTAACTAGGGGCTTATGGGGCTGCTTCGCAGCCCCTTATTTTTCCTGTACACTTTTCACTTTCACATGTTTTTTTTTTTTTTTTTTTTTTTTTTTTTTTTTTTTTTTTTTTTTTTTTTTTTTTTTTTTTTT